TTTACAAATATCAAGGTTTTTGGCATCCTTGCAGGCATTTGCAAGGTGTTCTTTCATGTCAAAAACACTTTCAGGCTCAAGACACTGATATCCTTCTTGTTACCACTCCCAAATCAGGCACTACCTGGTTAAAGGCCATCTTATTTRCCCTAATGAACCATACCCATTCCCTGTTACCTCAGGTCAACCACCCATTACTGTCAAACAACCCTCATGTGCTCGTGCCTTTCTTGGAACTGAAACTCTAYCTCGAGAACGAAAACCCAGATCTCTCATCCTTCACATCTCCAAGACTCTTTTCCACTCAYATGCCATACGTATCCTTACCAAAATCCGTCCACGATTCGCAAAGTAAGCTCGTTTATCTTTGTAGAAACCCCAAAGATACTTTGGTGTCTCTTTGGTTTTTCACAAACAAGTTGAGGCTCAAGGAAATGGGGACAAATCCACTTGAGGACGCTTTTGAGAAGTTCTGTGCAGGAGTNTTGGTGTCTCTTTGGTTTTTCACAAACAAGTTGAGGCTCAAGGAAATGGGGACAAATCCACTTGAGGACGCTTTTGAGAAGTTCTGTGCAGGAGTGAGCATATATGGTCCTTTTTGGGATCATATGTTAGGTTACTGGAAGGAAAGCTTAAACAATCCCCAAAGAGTATTCTTTCTGAAATATGAAGAAATGAAAGAGCAGCCAGAGCTTCATTTGAAGAAACTTGCTGACTTTTTAGGGTGCTCATTTTCATCCAAGGAAGAGGAAGAAAGAACTGTGGATGACATTTTAGAGATTTGTAGCTTTGATAACTTGAGTAATCTGAAAGTGAACAAGGAAGGAAAGCTTCCATCTGGGGAGGATTTCAGTGCATTTTTCCGAAAAGGTGAAGTTGGAGACTGGAAAAACCATCTGACTCCAGAAATGGTTGAGCGTCTTGACAACATCTGTGAAGAAAAGTTCCAAGGATCAGGGTTGAAATTTTAACTTGCATGAAATGGTATTTGTAAGAGCTGTAATCAGGGGTATCTACTTCAATATTAAGATAAGTAAGCATCGAATAAAGGTTATATTTGCGTAAACGATGTATTTATGATGATGATATAATATAATTACGAAGTAATATGATGATTATTACTAAGGTTTATCGATACAGTTTATTGATATACAATATTAATTACGTGAAATTAGTACATGTGTTATTTAACTATACATCATGTGAGATTAAAGAGACGACATCGATCGTTGATCTCAGAAAGTTAAAGGTGATTACAATGATGTATCAATTTTATCACTTTGTGATTCGGTCGTATATGATGTATTGTCTTCAACTAAAATAATTAAGGATCGGTATGTTAAGTTTTATTTGAAGGGTGTTTCGAACTATGTCTGTACTAATCCCGATAAATTGTTGCTATCAAAAATCAGTCATGTAGTTAAAAATCTTGAATAATCACCGTATTTAAAGATGATAGATTTTTCTAACAATATTGAGTACTAGAAAAAATATATTGGTATGCGATAGATATATGAGTTATGATGTCATACCCCTCTTTTCTTAAGTGATATTTTCACCATAATTTGTTTGAGTATCACGAAATTCACTCGATAATACTCTCAAATTTTTCAGTCCAGATTTTATCAGTAGTTGTTCATTTTCGAACCCAGACAATCGTAAGTGTTACTATGTTAATGGTGAGAATAACTCTCTATTGAATGAAAATGATTGTTTGAAGTAAATAGTGAAAAAGAGCGCTAAGAGTCATAGATTTCAGATCTTTTGAGGTGTTCAGACACATTGAATAAGTGGTATCAAAKCAATGTTTTTAAAGATTCTTAGTGTCTTCCATACTTTGTTTTTAAAGATTCTTAGTGCTCTTTAGTTTCAAAGTAAGATTGTTTAGATTATGTTCTATACCTTTTTCTTATTCCGCCAACAGTATGTAAATTCAAGTGTATTGATTCTTCTTTTATTGATTTAGAAGAAGAATCAATACATTTGAATTTACAGACTCTTGGCGGAATAAGAAAAGGTATAAAACATAATCTAAACAATCTTACATTGAAATTAAAGAGCACTAAGAATCTTTAAAAACAAAGTATGGAAGACACGAAGTTCCTTGCATGCATAAACATGGAGAGAAGATAACAACAAAGAAGATGAAGATATCAATAACAATGAAATGGAGTCTTCTCTGGTACTTGTACCATGTGCATTAAATGCACGTTATAGGTGTAATCCACGTGTCATGAGAAGAATGGCTCATTGGTACTTCTCGTTCAAAAGCAAAGCAGACTTTGGGCACTTGTGAACAATTTTCCAAGGTGGCGCTGGTGAGTGGATAAGCAAGGGAACAATAAAGCAAATCCGTATTGTACCTTTTGTCTCATGGCAACATGGGATTTTGACCGGTACATGAGGGGATAAGACAAAAACTTAATACGCAAGATTCTTATTCAGCAAGGGGAGGTGTTAGACTTAATTTAACTTCACGAATACCATTAACATATCAGAATTGAATCAATTCATATAGAGAGATTTAGGGCTTGAATTGTGTACCTTGTGCGATTGATGAAGATGAGTTCTGATTGTTGTTTGATTGATCACCCATTCTGTCTCAAGATCCACTCTTAAGTCCTTACCATTTGATGGCCTTTGGTAACTGATAGGATTCTTAGTGTTCTTGATAGAGATAGATGAAAATGGCGCCAGAGATGCTTTATAAAGGGCTGAAGGGTTGTTCTCACCATCAAAGAACCAAGATAACTGTCAATTAACCAACTGATATATATATATATATATGATAGAAAGGAAGAGTCTGATGGTACGCATACATATATATACTTGATGCTTATATATAAAGCATAATTGTTATTATGCAATTAATCTTGTTCTCAAGGTGAGCATATATATACATATATGTTTCTATATATGCTACAATCTCCCACTAAACAAGATAATAATTTGATAATAACAATTAACTAAATTGTGCACTGGTTTTATATAATCACATCAGTTCCTTCATAGTACAAAACATTGAAATTGAGCAGTGGATCATGGAAGTTTACTGATCAATAACATTGTGCAGGCTTTCAAGGTCACAATGATGCAACCTCAATGTTATATACCTGTTTATTCGTACCATATCCTCCTTGAACATTTACAACTTAAAATTTCAATTCAGCAAAGTTCTGTAAATGCCTTAATTGCTTGAATTTATAAAACTGCTTCAACAAGCATATGTGAACATCCAAATTTGTACAATCATAGTTTCACATAATCAATTAACATAGTATATTTTAAGCACATATACACAAGCATGTATTAAATAAATACATATTACAATGAAATACATGCCATAATTATCATCATATCAACCTTAGATGTCGAGAGAGTCTATCATTCACATGGCTTTAACATGCTTCTTGAAACATTCAACTGGAAGTGCTTTTGTCAAAGGGTCTGCCAATTGTTCCTTTGTTCCTATCTTCAAAACTTCAACTTCCTTGTTTCTGACATTCTCCCTCACTGCAAAGTATTTTACATCTATATTCCTAGAACCACTGCTTCTTTTGTTATTTTTAGTGAAAAATACCGCAGCAGCATTATCACAGTACATTGTAAGTGGTCTTTGTATTGAATCTATAATCTTCAATCCAGCAATGAAATTCTTAAGCCAAATGGCATGAGATGTTGCATCATAGATAGCTATATATTCTGCTTGAAATGTAGARGTAGCAGTCAATGATTGCTTGCTTGCTTTCCATGAAATTGCACCTCCTGCCAACATAAAAATGTAACCATAAGTAGACTTAAGGTCATCATGATCTTGCTTATATGAAGCATCTGTGTAGCATTCTACTTTCAGCTCCTTATCAGATCCTTCATATGTCAACATGTGGCTCATAGTCCCCTTTAGATATCTTAGCACCTTCTTTCCTGCAACCCAATGTGAATGACCTGCATTGGATTGAAATCTAGACAACATGTTTACTGCAAAGGCTATGTCAGGTCTAGTGCATACTTGTGCATACATCAAGCTTCCAACTAGCCTTGCATAGGGTATTTTGGTCATTTCATTCCTTTCAAATGAATTGCTAGGACACTGCCTTTTATGCAATTTATCACCCTTTGAAATTGGGGCTTCACCTCTTTTGCAATTTTCCATGCCAAATCTTTTCAAAACCTTTTCAATGTAACCCTTTTGAGACAATCCTAGAGTTCTTGTTTGTCTGTTCCTGATTATCTCAATTCCCAATACATAGTTTGYTTCACCCATGTCTTTCATGTCAAAATTCTTCATAAGAAAAGTCTTTGTAGATTGTAAGAGACTTTTACTATTAGTTGCCAACAGTATATCATCTACATATAGTATAAGAAATATGAAGTTATTCCCACTGGTCTTTGGGTATATGCATTCATCTAATTTGTTTTCCTCAAAGCCAAAGTTATTCATGACAGCATCAAATTTCTTATACCATTGTCTTGATGCTTGTTTTAGACCATAAATGGATTTGTTCAAAATCTACAAACCTTATTGTTATTCAATGCAAATCCTTCTGGTTGACACATATGGATTTCTTCTTCCAAATCTCCATTTAAGAAGGTAGTCTTTACATCCATTTGATGTAATTCCAAGTCAAAGTGTGCTACAATGGCCATTATGACTCTGAATGCATCTTTTGTAGAGACATGTGAAAAGGTCTCATTGTAATTGATGTCTTCCCTTTGATTGTAGCCCTTAGCCACTAATCTTGCCTTATATCTATCAACATTTCCTTTTGCATCTCTTTTAGTTTTGAACACCCACTTACAGCCTATAGGTTTTATAGAATCTGATTTGTCAATGAGGTCCCATACTTTATTATTTGACATACTAGCTAATTCATCTTCCATGGCTTTCACCCATTTATCCTTATTTGATGATTCCATAGCTTCCTTAAAACTGATTGGGTCATCAGCATCTCCTAAATCAAATTCTATCTCAGTCAGATAGACATGATAATCATCAGGTATTGCAGGCCTTCTTTCTCTTGTAGACCTTCTTAGAGTTGTAGTGTTTGGTACTGTATCTGTTGGTTGTTCTTGTATTGGTTCATGTACATGCTCAGTCTCAAGTACATGTTCTTGATCATGTGTRGACTCATGTATTGACTCTAATAATTGGTCCTCAGTAATATCAACTATATCATCTAATATACTGTTTCTTACTATGGGTATGGATTGTGAGGTCAAATCCTCATTTTCAGGGATCAAGGATGATTCCTCTTCATGATATATCATCCAATTGTCTAGATCATGTGAAGTTTGAGAAGAATTTCCTAAATCATCATCTTCATTAAACATTTCATCATAAAACACTGCCTTATTGGTTTCATAAATTCTTTGTCCTCTTCCTGGGTTAAAGAACTTATAAACTTTGGACTTTTCTGAATATCCAATGAAGAAAGCAGAAATTGATCTAGAATCTAACTTACTTAAGTTTTCAACATGATATTCCCTAGTTTCAGCCTTATATCCCCACATATGAAGGTGATTTAAACTAGGCTTATATCCATTCCATAGTTCAAAAGGTATGCCATTAATTTCCTTGGTTGGAGTTCTATTGCAGATATATTTTGCTGTCTTCAAGGCCTCTCCCCAGAGAAACTTTGGCAAGCTAGATCTAGCAAACATACTCCTAACCATGTCCATTAGGGTCTTATTTTTCCTTTCTGGTACTCCATTTTGCGTAGGAGTATATGGAGTTGTATATTCAGCCTTGATACCAACTTGTTCCAAATAAGTGGCAAAAGGTCCCTTATGCTGTCCCTTTTCAGAGTATTTGCCAAAATACTCTCCTCCTCTATCTGATCTGACTACTTTGATTGTTTTCTCAGTTTGCCTTTCAACTTCTGTTTTAAAGCTTATGAAACAATCCAAAGCTTGTGATTTTTCAGCCATTAAAAATACATGGCAGAATCTAGAAAAGTCATCAATGAATGTAATAAAATACTTGCTATCACATATTGTTTTAACTGGAAAAGGCCCACATATATAAGTGTGAATTAATTGAAGAATGCATTGACTTCTTTTAGACTGAAAATTTCTGGAATTTGTCATTTTCCCCTTTAGACAGTCTATGCAAGTTTCAAAGTCATCAAAGTTTAATT